GCCGATTATCATTTAATTATGGTAAGATTAGAGTAATGAATTTAATGTTAAATGAGCAATCTGCATGACATCTCGATCATTATGAATATAACGAGTATATTCATATCATTGTAACCGCGAATGTTGAATGTGAATATACGCAGACTGCAAACAATTTGTGAACAGTTTAACATCGCAAATTGTTCGCAACTGCAGTATTCCCTTATTCGTCTAAGAGAGAACTGCGGCAATTGTGCAAGATCGAAGTAATACCATAAATAATATTATAAAAGTCTCCTCATATACTGATTATATCCTTTGATTATGATGAGGTTTAAAGTAATGAATTTAATATTAAATGAGTAATCTGCATAATATCGATCACTATGAATATAACAAGTTTGTTGTAACCGCGAATGTTGAATGTGAATATACGCAGACTGCAAACAATTTACGAATAGTTTAACATCGCAAATTGCTCGCAACTGCAAGGCAGTATTTCCTTATTCGTCTAAGAAGGAACTGTGTCATTTGCGACAGTATGCAAAGTAATGCCACAAATAGTAAAATATTATAAAAGTCTCCTTATATACTGATTATATCCTTCGATTATGATGAGATTAGAGTAATGAATTTAATGTTAAATGAGTAATCAGCATGATATCAATCATTATGAATATAACGAATATATCATTGTAACCGCGAATCTTAAATGTGAATATACGCAGACTGCAAACAATTTGCGAACAATTTAACATCGCAAATTGTTCGCAACTGTAAGGCAGTATTCCCTTACTCATTTAAGAGGGAACTGTGTCAATAGGGACAAATATCTTGCGATTGCAAGAAAATTTAGTAATAACATAGATGGTAGAATATTACAAAAGTCTCCTCATATACTTACCGATTATGGTGAGTGTAATAAATTTAATGTTAAATGAGTAATCTGCATGATATCGATCATTATGAATAGAACAAGTTTATTGTAACCATGAATGTTGAATGTGAATATACGCAGACTACAAACAATTTGCGAACAGTTTAATATCGCAAATTGCTCGCAACTGTAAGGCATTTTTTTATTCATTCATATTCCTTTATTCATTTAAGAGGGAACTGCGTCAATAGGAACAAATATCTTGCAATTGCAAGAAAATTTAATAATAACACAGATAGTAGAATATTATAAAAGTCTCCTCATAAATTTGCCGATTATATCCTTCGATTATGGTGAGATTAGAGTAATGAATATAATATTAAATAAGTAATCTGCATGATATCGATTATCATAAATATAATAAGTTTATTGTAACCGCGAATGTTGAATGTTAATATATGCAGACTGCAAACAATTTGCGAACAGTTTAACATCGCAAATTGTTCGCAACTGTAAGGCAGTATTCCCTTATTTGTCTAAGAGGAAACTACGTTAATTATATTACATTACGATAAGATTAGAGTAATGAATTTGATGTTAAAGTCGGGTGGTAACCCGAAAGGAAAACAAATAACAATAATAATCGCGTAGGCGTGCGGGCGCGACAAATATACATGTCGCAGCCCAGTATTGTGCGTTTCCTCCTTGATTTCAATGCGTGCTAGCCCAATATGTATGGCATTCAATCATACACATACTCATTGTCATTACATGCACAAAAAATTAAATCGCTATACTTATATAAGTAATGTTACTTATAAGTAATATTACTATACACGTATGACATCAATGTTATTTAATGCACTATTATTAAAGTATGGAACTGTATCATGCCAGGAAAGTAAAATATTGAGAATACTTCTCTTACTTGAGAAGGAAGTCACCGCTCTAGGAAGTCATCGATTTCAGATAGACACAGGTCTAATATTAACTAACTTATGTAGATTCGTTAGGGATTTTAAAAACGTAATCGGTCAAAGTATTGCAAGATATACAATACACGTATAATCCAAACCAGATACATAGATTAGTAGACGAAAGGGCGGCCGTGTTTGTCGCGCTTTCTCGAGCGGAATGATTCTTACCGGACGCGAGCACGTTGATCAGGTACCTAAAGAGAGGAAGGGCGAATCGAAACGTGATGCTTCGATGATCACGAACGGACCACCCACGCGGGAGAAAGGGTTGAATCGAAGTTCACGATCGGCTCGTTGGCCGCCACGTGCTCGAAAACCGCCATGACTTTCGAATTGGCTGACATTCACGCGGCGGTCGACGTTTCGATGAATCTTGAATCGAAGCTGAATACCGACGGTGATGACTTTTGACATTACCGCGTGCGAAGTGCATGCGATTCAATCGTTGCGAGAAAAAAAAAGCAGAAACGATAAAGTTGTAATGGATGATGAGTATACAAGCGGATGATTCGTTGCGGTTTGTGGTGATTTCGAGCGTAATGGAAAAAAAATGCAAGGTGTAACAGTTCGAGGATGGTGAAATAATCTGAATAAATGGCGGCCTTTTTGATATCTGTTTCAATTATAGAACTTTAATATACTTGTATTTGATAAAACATCGTGTTTTAGAATAGATTTAATAATGTCGCTATTATTTTATATTTTACTGCAACTTATGTGCTTTCCATCAAATGAATTAGACTTAATTACACCTCCCAAGAAATCGATTAAGTAATTTAAAAAAAATGGAGGGTGAATATCTTTGTATAATTTATTTGAAATTTACTGAATTTTCTTAATTTGGAATATATTAAAATTTCGAATTACGAGAAAATGATCGGACACCATTTCCGCGTAATTTGAGATGAAAGATAGAAAAGTTGATGATTAGAAAGATAATCCCCTGAATTCAAGATCGATGTAAGAAAAGCGAAAGATCGAGGAATCGCAAACGACACGGTGCGTTTCTTTTTAATGATAAACTTGTAACAGTACTTAAAGTTATAAGCATATTTTTAGTAGTTCACTGAGAGGACAACGAATCAACAGAATGAGTACGTGTCCTGAACGATGGAATGTAGATGGCAAGAAAAGATCGAACAACGATGATAACATATACGCAATGTCCGTGTAATACGCGCGCGTAGATTAATGCGCACTAGAATTATCACTTATCATACGATGCAAATATAAATAAGTAACAGAGTAGCTTTTCTTCCTAAACATAAATGGAGAAGAAATTAGATCACACACATAAAATGCGAGTTCTATCTGTCATCGTTAATTACTAAGGATTATCAGGCAAAGCTCTAAGACTATGAAACGAGTCAAATGTAAGATTATAAATTTATAGCCTCTAGCGAATACGTGAAGAAGTGTAGTACAATATTAACGAGAACGTGTATAAAAATATATAAAGAGTATATAAATAATATATATAAAATATATTAAAAAATATAAAGACAAATATATATAAATGCAAACGCATATATAAATACAAATATGTAATTATTCCTATGATATCGTTTATCGTTAGTCAGGACGTAAAGATGCTCGTTGCGATCGTGCATTTGTCATTTGATCAAAGATTGATAGCGAAAATGTCACTTAAATAACTTGAAATATTATACCTTGAGAATAACAAAATTCAAATTTAAGTACAACGAGAGATAAATTTAAATATTTTATTCGTTCAAAAATCAATTTCAGTTCTCTTCTGTTAGTAAGAGCGAAAAGCGCGACGAATAACGAGCATAAACGCCCAGTACATTCAGTAAGAGTGCCATAGTCGCGAAATGAAATGTTAGATGAGACAATATAGAATAGATCGTATTCCGAAATGAGACGATATCTCAGTCGGAGCATATTCGTTTTTGGCCTAAAATATGCTTATTATAAAAATGGTATTTGACGCGAAACATCCGATGAATATCAAAGCTCAATCGGATGAAATTATTAATTTAATTTTCAATTTGAAAGGGCATTGGACACGTTGTTTTTTGGCGTATTGTATTCATATCTGCGCCTTTTTTGTAAAACTTTTGTATCGGTATTTTATATATTATGATAAAAAAGTATAAAGAAATTTTTTCATGTTAAAATGAAATGTAATATCCACTAAGGATATTTCTCGATTATTAATCGAGATTGTGGAATGGTAATCTATTACAAGTATTTTTATTTAGTTTTCATATATAATATTTTCTCAAGAACAACGATTTAATGATACGGACAAAAATTATGATGATAAAATTATGAATTTTTTTGTTATTAATATTTTATCTGTATGGGTGACGGACATGGTAATAGTTTCTTGAAATGTTCAACGTTTCGATGTGGTAATTAACTAAACAGAAGTACCAATAGAACAATAGCAATTAATATGTTATTCAGAAAATTAATTTTCTGAATCACAAAAAAAGAAAAATATGAATGTATGAACCATTACTTAGTCCCTGTTGCCATAATAGATTATAAAACATTTCCAATGTTTCCTAGTCATTATGGTTGTTATGATAAATCTTACTCTTAAATGTGTTAAAACAATAGATTGCGATTATAAATGTCCATTATGTTATATATACATAAATATATATTATACATGTTACGTTGCTATCAAGATTACCATTACTAATATATTACTACAATTAATGTGAAATATAGTAATTAATACGAGTTTCGAGATGTTTTAACTGCGAAATGTTATAAATATTAATGTGTAATTGTCATGACACTGTGTAAGCGCAATGGTTTTTTTTTCCAATTATTAACGATTATTAGGCGATACGTATAAATAAATCGCATCGATAATAAAATGAAAATGAAACAAAAATGCTATATTAATCATCAATAATATCTTTGCAGCAATGATAACAAATGAGATATCTATAATATGCATTAGATATACAGCGTTGCATACTTCAAAGGCGCTCCGATGTAGAACCTGTTACATTATTATGTTCAATGCAATACATAAGCTGAACTGTAATAATAAAAGCATATATAAGCATAAAAATAACATGCATGCATTGTCATTTTTCTTTTATATCCTCATCTTCTCAGACATATCTTTATAATATATACGAAATTCCTGAATAGTTAAAAAGAGTTACATACAAAGACTTGAATGTTATTAGCATTAATCAATTTTTATTTTCATATATACGAGTCTAAAATAGTGAGTACACGTGTTAATAATTTCTACAAAAATAAAAAAGATAAAATAATGTACGCATAAAGAAAACAAAAATATTGATTAATATTTAAATCGTGTACTACATATTTTATAATTATTATCATCACATATACACATTAAAGATAAACAAGTCACATGACATAGAATTTAAAATAACGACTTGTCGAGTTCTGTATTGAGAGAACAATTTCGATACATCCCGGCGTGACCAAGTTCGATGCTGAAAGAATGGTTCTGGGGATAATAAAACGTCGGCACTGTATGAATTGTCGGTGCATACCAGCCATAATCCAGAGAAGTTTTCCAGTAACAAGGATGAGGAGGATTCTCTTGACCGTAACCTTTAAAAATTTCTGAAAAACGTTAATGATTAATAAATAATAGACAGTACATCATTTTCCATAATATTTACGCATGTATATTCGAAAAAGAATTTTATCAAATAAAATGTTCAATACAAATAAGCAAAAAAGATCAAAGCACGTCTTGATGATTTATAATAATTTTTTATGAATGTTACAATTTTCATTTCAAATGAACTGCGCACTGATTAGAGTATTAGATCCTCCTCGATCGAATATGACTTTCTTCACTTATTTGTGTTGAATTTCTCAGTCAATTTAATATTGTTAAAATAAGATACATTTAAATTATTATCCTTGTAGATTTTTATAATTAAGAGTCATAATCATGTTGATACATATCTTAAATCTTTTTATAGATCTTTGATATAGATAGAAATAAAAATACTGTGTTTTTTTGTGTGTATATCACTGTTATATAATATAATATTTTCAGTTTTCTCGGACGTATATTTATGAATACAAAAACATCTCGCTTACAAGTTTTAGCCGGTTTCTGGATCTATGAATCAATCTCTGTACAGTCGTACGGTATCTGATACGCTACGCTATTGCACTGATATTGACCGTGAACTTTTCCAAAGTCATCCACTAACAAACCGCGTACTTTGAAGCCGGGATCCACAGTTACGTTTCTCATTCGCACGAATGCTGCCATATCCACATAACGGAGGTCATTGTTGTTCAAGAAAAGAAACAGTAAATTATCTAGACCCTGAAAGGTGTCGGACTTCAACACTGTCAACTGATTGCCGTTCAGCCAGAGCGAGTTCAGTGACTTCATGTGTCGAAAGACATTGGCAGGAATTGTTCTCAGTCGATTCCTACCTAAGTCAAGCTCGTTTATCTCGCTGAGACCGCGGAACACATCGGGGTGCAAAGTCGAGATCTTGTTGCGCGACAGATAGAGAAGGTCTATATGGAATAGCCCATTGAACGTGCCGATCGGTATCTCCGGTATATCATTCGAATCCAGGACCAGTGTTTCGAGCTGTCCGAGTCCCTTGAACATGTTCCTCTTTAACGTGAGTCGGTTGTTAGTGATATAGAGCTCATGCAACTCCGAGAGACCCTTCCACACGCCAGGTCGCAAGTCCGAGATGTTGTTGTAATCCAGCAGTAGAGTCTCCAGATTACATAAACTTACGAAAGCACTATCTTCTACGTTGATGATCGTATTATTTTTCAAGTCCAAATAGGTGAGCTGATCGAGAGCATCGAAGTAATGCCGGTCGATACTCGATAGCCGATTATCGCGGACATAGAGAGCGGATGAGTTGCTGACCTCGATGAAGGCATTCCTGGTGATGTTAACGATCCCAAGGTTCTCCAGATGTAACTCGATATCCTCAATCGTCTGAACAGCGTTAACATCCTCGAAAGCGACGCTGTGAAGAAAACTGCTGTTCTCCAAACAGACATACAGATGGTTGTAAACCTGACAGTCGGCGTCCTCCGTGAAAACATCCGCAACGTTACCCGATAAGAGGAAATAAATGAGAAGAAGGAAGCACATGGTGTGCTCGGAGGCTGATTGTGCACTAACTTCGTGCGCGTCAAGTTTCTTCGCGTACACAACGTTTGCGAGATATTATTATCGAACGCGCGAATATATATATCAGTGATAAGTTATTACATGCATATCTACTACGACATTATATTGCGTTATCTTGGACTTCATAATTAATTTATAAATTATAGGAGTTCCACAAATCGGTGGATAATGTTATCTTTTAATAGTTCTCGTTTTTTATTTTACTTTGATAAAACATTTCGTATTTGTTAGAGACGGTCCACAAAATTCATTAAAATTTTGTGTTTAATTTTAATATATCGGAATATTAATTTAACACAATGTGATTTAACATAATGTAATTGTTATTTAAAAATTTTAAATTAATATTTAATATTTTTTAGTGTTGAAATAATACAATTTATGAGTAAATAAATAAATAACATAAAAATAATATCTTTTAAAAGATAAATTCTAAAATAAATGAATAAAATGTGTTAATATATTACAAATGTTAAATTTATTGAAACACGTCAACATAGTATAAATTATGTCTAATATTAATTTTTATGAAAAAATATGATTATTTTGTGTAAATTGTAATCAGTTGTACATGTTAATTTTTTAATAATATTTGTGTTACATCTTAATACATATTTATCTTATATTAAATTAACACAAAAATTTGATTAGACTGTTTAGGATATGTGAAAATTTAATATTTTTCAAATGTGTCAATTAATTTCCGATTAACAATAAACAAGCTTTATTATATGAATACAATTTAAATGGCTTTTTGAAATTAAATATGATCAATAACATAGTATATAAAATTTCTCATATTATTTAAACCAGTATGTCCTTTAATTGCAGGTACGAGAATATGTTGAACCTATTGTGCATATGTATATGCGTTCGTGCGTGTATATGCATAAAATCATATTTTAATAACTAAAAATAATAATAATAAACTTAAAATAACATTTTTATAAAATAATAAGATAATTTGCACACTATGATAAGTTTAATAATAAAATAATGAATCAAATAAAAAAAGCCAAATACGATCTACATTTTAATATAATATTTTTAAGTCTAATAATATTTTTAAGTAAATTTATATGTAAATTTTAAATCTTCTAGTTATTTAAATTGTATGTCGAGTGTTCGCGGATTGAAAATACATTCATAAAACCTAAATTTAAAATATAATAAAAATCATATTGCACAATCATTCCAGCAAAAATGTTTCTCCAAAAAATTCTCGATGTAATATAAATTAATGATTAGAAATAATTCATTTTCTACACTTTGCAAGTAGCTGATATGACTGCATACCGGAAAATTACGAAGAATTATCAATGACGAATAACAAGACCATATCAGGATCTCACACTTTATACAACA